ATGTTTCATTTCGGACTCTATGTATAAGGTAGATCCCAGTGAGATATGAAACACCTCAAAAAGATAAGTGTCTTTAGACTTTCTTCTTAGAGTTATAACCATTTTATCAGAGTTTTATGTTTTTTGCACGGTATGTACCAACAAATTGAATGATAATATTTCGACCTGAAATTTCGTCTACAGATAAATCTATATGCGAGTAGAATCTTCTGAAAATGTTAGCTGAAGCCAATGCTTCTTTCGCAAGATATTGAATTTCCAAAACTCACTAATATCTTGCATAAGTTGCGAGTCTCATGTTTGGAAATTTAAACTCTCATGAAGGAAACATTCTTTCAGGACACTCCAGTCATCAATAGATCTATTTGTGAATAAAACTTCAGGTTATAATACGGGCATTCGATTTATTTGTAGATATGGTGTCATAATCTAAAATTTCAGTAAAATGACTATAAATTTTGAAGAATGATCTAAGAGTAATTATACTTTTGAAACGTTTTATATCTTAATAGGGTCTACATTTACGCATAGAGTCCGCGTACAAGAACGATTTATCACTTGAAGCAGTCCTCTCGTTAGAGAGAAGTTTGATTGAATAGTATATATTAAGCTCCCTCAAAAAATTTATCTCAGGCTATGTACATTCAAATTGCATGAAACTTTCAGTTCTCTATCATGTTTCTCGGAGATATTCAACAAAAAAAAAGATTCAAAAATATCTCTCATTTGACAAATCAAAAATCTGTATGGACGTTAATTTTACAGATTTAATTTTTTCCACTTGAAAGAGACCTTGCAGATCGTAGTACACATTATTTTATATTCTTACTTTTTATGCGGAGGAAAAGAATGACAAGTTCAATCCGTCGAAAAATGGTCATCTATTTATCGAAGTATTCTTTTACAATAATAAAGCTTAATTCAAAAAAATAGACTCTGAAGCTTAAAATATTCTTTCAGATCGAAAGAAAAGCATATTTTCAAACAGAAGATATCAAAAATTATGAAAATTTTGACTAAGCAAACGAAGTACCTAATAGAAAAATCATGTCGTTCATGAAAGATTAGACCTGGAGCTATCATGTCAATTTAGATTTATCTGACGAAAATTGACTTTTTTTAGGGATAGAAACAATTAATAGACATCTGGAGAATAACCAGTTGAAACATGGTACTTACAACTTATCTTACATCTATTTCTTATAGAAAAAACTGACAAGAATCGAAGTACTCTACATCTTATACTAATTACTAACTTTTAAACACATCTAACATAATCTATAACCCATTAGTTGTGTTGTCGACAAATTAATTTCATGACGTTTCTTGTGTCTGTATTCGTATCGAATCTCCTATTAGTCTATTCAGTTATTCACTCTGAAACTTAGTCGAATACTTAAAGGCAAACTCAATTTTCATTAGAAATCAATCTTAAGCATTAGAATTCCAGATTGACGTATTAAACTCAACTGATAATATTTCTAGAGAATAAATAAATTTGTAGATTCTAAAGTTTTTCTCAACGCTATGTATACTAAAATTATAATTCTTACCGTTGGACTTATTAAAAGTCGATAAAACATTTCCAATGTATTATCTCCAAATAAATAATTAAGAAAAAGTTCTTCATGTTGACAATTTAATGCTGATGGTGATAATGCAATACGTTTATTTCTTTGTTGTTGTTGTTGTTGTAATTGTTTTTTAGCTAAACGTTTATTAACAAGACTAAGTAAACATTCAAATGAAGCATGTCGTAATTTAACGGAGTTAAGTTGAAAGAATTTTAAAAATAATTCACAAAGAAATAATTCATACTGTTCAAAATGATTATATTCTACCCATGTAAGAAAACTATTCACAGCTAATAAACATGCTTGTGTTAAACGTTCACGTTGATCAGTTACAATTAATAAATCAGTTGATATACGTATTAAACATGGTAAAATATCATTTAAACGTTTTTGTAATTGATTTAATAATTGTCGACGACGATGAATTTGTATTGATTGAGCATAGATTGTTAATTCTTCATTTAAAAATCGATAAACAAGTAAAATAAGTTCAAGTTGAGTAGAATTGTTATCTAAATTAAATCATAATCATTTTAAAAGATTCCCTGGGATTAAGTGACTTATTCACAATTGAGAAATCAAATATATCATGTCGTACAATAAGTCAAGGTCCGTGAGATGGTATATAGTAAATCTCACTTTTATAAGGCTTTGAATAAACTAGAACCATTTTGCTGATCATTGTGACCCTTAGTACAATCAACCGTGTTTGTAAAGTCTTTTTCTTATATAGTTTTGTAGAAGTTTCAAAGGCTACAAGTTCACATACTTAACATCTCTAATCATCCTATCTTAGATACAAAGTGCTATTTTTCAATGACTTATTACTGTTTTTCACTAATTATAAATTTTCATGGCTTCAATGATGTCAACCATAGAAAAGGTAAACAGACGCCGAACTTTATCAGAAACTATCCGCGACGTAGTAATATTCGAATGTTCTTCAAAATGAGAGCATGGTGACCAAAATTGTCTAATATTGAAAAATTATCAAACATTTTTGCATCAATTTTTCTCTTTTAGTACTACAGTTTGACTATCAAAAGCCAATTCTGGTGCGAATTAAACATGATATTCGGAATCAACAACATAGTCCGCATTGAATGGCTTATATTTTAACTAATTTTTTCCACTATAATTCAGGAAAAAAGGCTCAGATGAAGTATCAGTGGAGCTTTGGTGAATCAAAAATTTAGTTAAAATATAAGACATTCAATGCAACTTGATATACTGATTCCGAATATTATGTTTATTTCACACTAGAAACGACTTTAGATAGTCAAAATACAATATTAAAAGAAAATTTATGTAGAAAGTTTTCAATGCTGGGCAATTTTTGCCATCATGTGCTCATTTTGAATCACTTCTAAATAGTCTGTTTTTCAGTGTTATATCATTGGCAGTTTCTGATCAAGTTCAGCGTCTGTTCGCATCTTCTATGGTTGACACTATTGAAGACACGGAAACTTACCATTAATGAAAAACAGTAATAAATCATTGAGAAATACCATTTTTTCCTATCAAAGATACGACAATTGGAGATGTTGAGCATGAGTTTATAGCCAGTAATAAGCTCTACAAAACTGTATATAAGAAAAAGACTTTACAAACAGTATTGATTGACACCGAAGACCACAATGATCAGTAAATTGACTCTAGTTTATCCAAAATCTCATAAAAATGAGATGTATTATGCACCATTTGATGCGCTGTAACATGGTATATTTGATTTCTCAATTTGAAATTGGTTATCTAATCCGATGGAATTGTTTAATTTAATAAAAAAACAAACAAACCTTCAATTTGAGCAATAGTCTGCGTCATAAGAACAATTTCATCTAAAGTTGTATTTACTTTTTCAAAACAATCACGTTTTATCATTTCAACTAAACATTTTGCTAAAGCATTACGTATATAAATAGGATCCATAAATGTTTGATTTAAACATGAACTTTTTATTAAAAGAAATAATTGTTCTTTAACTAAATATTTTTCATCTTGTTTTAATAATGTCCATTTATGTTTTATGATTGATTCAATTAAATGTATACCATAATGATGCAATAATGCTTCATTATTTGTTTGCTGTTTTAATAATTCAAAACCAATTGTAAGACTTATTAATGGATGATTTTCTTTCAGATCTTCAAGAAAATTTAATGCATATTGTTTATCACTATTTGTTGTTGTTGGATTAAACGAACATAGTACAGCTGTTATAACACGTTGAAATAATTCATTTGTAAAAATCATTGTTTCTTGTGGAATCTTTTTTGGAGTCTAAAAAATAAACAAACAAAAACGTTCTTCTTTCGATATCAATAAAGTACATTTTGTTTTACTTGTTCTCCAAAAAGATCAATGGAATTATTTGTTTTTGATAATTGATCGATCATAATTTTAAATATTAAGTTATATTAACGTGATAATAAAGATGATTTAATTGTATTTTAAACCATTTGAAGGCTGAGTCAATCATACGTAATTTTATTCATTCATAATTATTTTTATCCTTCAATCTAATATTCTGAAATAGCAAGGAAGAACATTGTCAACTTATATAGGTACCTAGGGTAATGTTGACATCAGAATTGAGCAATACAATCTTAGTGTACAAATATGATGCAATTGCAATGGTTGTTTTTACTCTATTGCATAGTTTCATTGTTGATGTTTTTTCTTTTAATTTAGTTAATCAAAATAAAAGAACGAAAGAAAAAAAGCCAAACACATGTGTAGAATATTTATGTGAATAGCGTAGAAAAAAAATTTATGCTCGTATTTAACGTAGTTGAGCAAACAGAGGAAGAAAAAAAACGAGACTATAAAAGATTAAAGAACAACGACAATGCACAGATGTGTCCTAAGTAAAAGAACGAAAAGAGAAGGTCAACCAGATGGCTTTTTCAAACCAATAGTTACTGAGAACTAATCATTCGAATATATTATGAGGAGAAAAAGAAAAGGTTCAATGATATTATACGCGTCTCTTTGAACAAAATCATACAATAAAAATAACAACCAATGAATATGAAAGAAACCGATTCAATTAAAGTGACATCTATTCAAATGATTTTTAGAAAAATTAAAATTGAACTAAACAATAATCTTTAAAAAAGAACTAATTAATAACAAATTATTATCAAGATATTTTAATCATTTTTGTTGCCATTCGTTTTTAATAAACCAATTACATCATCGATCAGAGTAAGAAAACAAACAACAAACGGGTGTGTTTCAAAATCGGTACAAAACAACTCAATATAAATAATTTTTTATAGTATTCTATTTATTTCTCTATTTATTTGATACGTAAATGCGTACACATGTGCAAAGCAATACCCGATGGGTGATTTTCATTTTTATAAAGAATCTCATTCAGTCAATATTCGAATAATGTAAAAAAAAAGAACACAAAACAAGAGAATGCATAGTTATTCTCAACGTCATGCTGATGATATCAATGAAGATAATTTTGATGATGATACAACTCATCAGTTAAATAATTCTTCATCAGATATCAAACTTCGGCGAACAAGTAAAAAATCGTTGAAAAGAAAAACAAAATAAAATTTTATTTATTTATTTTTTGTTTTGTTTTCAAAGATACAGATTCATTGAATTATCCAATATTACATCGAGCTCTATCAACTGTATCTGCAAATCAAACATTAGTATATAATCAACGCAATGTTTTAGCAAAAAATTTTCGCCGAATTTCGATTAATGATGAAATTGTTACCATTGATCATAATGATGCTGATGCGTCATTTTTATTACCAAATCTATATGAATTACCCGATGATATTCGTACTCGTGTTATGGATAGTCTTGTTGATACAACAACAATGACAACATTGGAAGAAACAAGTATAGATAATCATATTTTGTTTTCTATAGGTATCTCTAGAAGTATCTTCTTATTTTTAGGACGTCTCAATTGGTGGGTTAATAAAAAATTAACTTGTCCAAAATTATATCCTCTTTTAACAAGTGGAGATGGAAATTGTTTATTGCATGCGACATCACTTGGTAAAGAAATAAATTTTCAGAGAGAAATTATTTTGTATAGAAAAATAAATCTAAAGAGAATTTATAAGATATTTATTAAACAACACGTATGCGAATAACTGGTTTATGCATAAGGAATATTCGAGATGCCTTCAAATCTTCTATTAGATTTATTCGAACGGTTACAATTTAGATTCGGCTAAAAAACAAAAATATTTTTTTTGTCATCAATTTAGTCGTAGAAGAAAAAAAATTGAACTAGGATGTGCGAGTGGTTTCGAGGTTAGAGAGGTTCATCTATGGAGACCAATATAATAGAATGGTTTATATTGTAAGTTAAAAAGTAAGAACATATTCACATTCTTAGATGAATTAATATACAATCGTAATAACAACTGGAAAAGTTTGTTTGAAAGGATTGAATTCTATGAAATGAATGGAGACTTGTTTTTGGTCTAATTGTATGATAATTTTCATTGTGTACGTAAATTATGAGATTTCTTGTTCGCATTTCATTCTAAAGATGCAGAAACTAAATTTATCGAAAAAAAATCGATTGAGCGGCTTCCATCATATACAAAGTAAAAGTTTGATTAACATTGATAAAGTTTCGCTGCTGACCATTGTCATTAGAAGTGTTACCCAACATGCATCGCATAACAGATGTTTTCGTAAAATAAAGCTTAGAAAAGAATCGTATCATTCTCCTCTCTTCTAGACAACCGTTATCTTTTTTCTCGAGAAGCTCAATAAAGACAAATCCTAATCAGCTTTGGATATTCTTGAAAATATTTATTTGAACGGTAAGTTTGAAAAATTTTAACTTACACAAATGGAATTTAAACATAATATGATACAACAAAAACCAAATTCAATATCATGTAAACTTGAAAATTAAGAAAAATAAAATCTCTAGCCATAAATTTAATTTTAACAATTAATAAATTTTTCCGAAACACACTTTCATCATTTTTCTCTTTCAGCTATGTGGGGTTTTCATGATCATTCATTATCAATGCGTAAAGCATTGAATGAAACAATGATTACATCAAAACCAAATAATTCACTTTATCGACGTTGGCGTTGGACACAATCAGTACAAAATAAAAAAGTTAGAAATTGTGTTTTTTTTCTAATTTAAACATAAAAAAATTAATATTATTTTATTTTAGTATGGTCTTGTTTTTTCTGAACAAGAATGGAATGATGAATGGAAAAGTTTATTAAGATTATCATCTGCTGAACCACGTGTTTCACAAAAGAGTTCGTCAAATTCAAATAAAAATTCTTCTGATTCAAATGTTTCTAATGATGAGTATGTTATGATAGATAAAAATAACAAATAAAACATATCGATTAATTTTTATTTTTGCTTTTCTAGAGTCAATCGTTATAAATCATCACAAACTGGAACACCAACAAGTACAGGTGGTTCAACAAAATCTTCATCACCATCAACAAGACAATATTATGAAAGTTTAGAAGAATTTCATGTTTATGTATTAGCTAATAATATACGTCGACCAATCGTCGTCTATTCAGATACAATATTGCGAACAAATGATGGTGAAGCTATTTCACCAATTGAATTCGGAGGGATTTATTTACCATTAGGTATATATTATAAGAAATTTTAAATGATAATTAATTATTTGTTGTTTATTTTAAAAATAGAAATTCCGCCTGAAAAATGTCACAAGCAACCGGTAAATTAACGTCTATGTTTTTCTTAATTTGATGACTACTATTTTTTTTTTTGGCTCATTTAATTTAGGTATTTCTTGCATTTGATGCTGCACATTTTTCAGCACTTGTACCTATGGAACAAAATCCTAAACAAACATCAAGAGGTAAATAAATTGAATTTTGAAAAAAATTAAACAACATTGAGAAAATAGTACAAAAATATATCAATTTAATCAAATTTGTAGAAGCTAGATTCTTCATCAAAATCTAAAAAAAATGATTATTAACATTTGAGTTTATTTTCAAAATCTATTTTCTCTTCTTTTGTAAAACTAACTTTCAAAATCAACATAGACTTTTGCTTTTTTTATATATTATTTTTTCACTAGAGCTCTGCACTGGATCCCGAAGCCGGTCTTCGATGAAGTTGGGTTGATTGTGCAGATTTTTCTATCGGAGTTACATCAGTAAAGAAAATCAAGCATTTTTACTCTTTCATAAAGTTCAAATATTTTACTGACACTCAAATCTTGAAATACGTTGAAGTTTTTGAGCTTCATTGTCAGAAAGACCTATACTAAATGAACTCAAACTAATATGCTCGTGACACACGTTAATTGTATATTTGAAAAAGTTAAAAAGTTCTAACCAATAGTTTTGGCATACCCTTGAAGTATGGAATTTTTATCTTTTCCTCCCCTCGATAAAAATACACTACTGCATAAATTCATAAATTTCAAGAAAAAAAAATATCAGAAAAACATTCTCATTAACAAGTAGCGCAAAAAGAACTACACATGTCAATCAAAAACATTTTCGAAGCTTTTTATATTAGAAAAAAGAAGAAATTCTTTTTCCGAAGTCGGGTTTGAGAATCAAACTTTTTGACTCTGCATGCCTTTATTTCTCACATCAGTGCATGGTGCGTCGTTTAAATCAATCAATAATTAGCTCTTAATTTCTACTGAAGTTTATTCTAGTGTTTTATATTTATTAATGAAAATATTTATAATTTTTTATAGTCAATGTTCAATTCTTCTTCATGAAATGAGATCATATACACAAAATACTGAAGTTTATGTGCTTCAAGATCTATACCAGCGAAAATGAAACATTCTATACACAGACGAAGTTTAGTTCGCTATTCTTCAAAGAAAAAAAAAGTATCTCCAACCTTCTTTTTGTTCAGAGATACCCACGGCGGCGCTGCCGCGATGGCGGAAACAGTGGCTTATTTTTTTAAGGAAAGGTTGTAAAACTGCATGAACTTCCACCCGATATTAGAACTATGCAAATTTGGCAGAGTGGCCGAAGAGATTTTCGAAGAATTTCTCGAAACCCTTCTTGGCAACAGAAGATTTTCAGCCGCGATCGACATGTCTGATTTCGTTTTTTGTGAATGATTAAAACGGCTCCAATCATTTATAATTTGAGTCTTTTTTTATTTTTTACTTGTAGCTACTTATCGAATTCCTTTAATCGATATTGATGCAACTGATCTTTTACCAATACATTATTTTATTGATCCTGGTCCAAATTTTGTATGGCCAGTCGATGAAGAATTATCCGATGAAAAAATTCATCTATATACACATTATGGTGAAAGTCGGATGGAAACACTTGAAAAATATTTAAGTCTATCGAAAGAATTATGTCCATTAAATATTTTAATATTACCATCAACACCAAATAATAATTTGCATGATGATATAACATTAACAATTGATAATAATCCATCATCAACAATAAATATAGATATATCAACATCAACAAATGAAACAAGTTCAACTATACCAACAATAATTAATAAAAAATCATCTCGTCCATCATTTAATTCATTTTCAAAAATTATTCGTCGAACATTTATTGAACCATTTTCATCGGTTAAACGTGCTTCACTTAAACAACAACGGCAACATACTAATTCAGAAATTTCAGATACAGTTATAAATAATGAAAATGAACATATACGTCGTGCATCATCACCATTACTTGATCGTCGAACAAATATATTAACAATAATTGTTACAAATTTTCAACCAAAACGACCTAAAACATGCGATAATATGATTAAAAATTATATTGATGCATGTATGAATGAATATCGTCTTGAAAAAAATTCTAAACAAATCAATGCAATGTCTGTAAATATAAATGAAAATAATTCAATTAATAATAATCATTCAGATTGGAATAATGATTTATCCTCATCTTCTTCTCCTCAACAACCTATTGTCGATCATCGTTATCAATCATCAACAAATACAAATCGATATAAACAAATGATTCCTTCAATAACAAATACAAATCAAAAGCTGATTGAAACATCAGGACGAAAATTACCTGCGGTACCAATAAGCTCAACCAATAAAGTCAATCCGTTAACAAAAAATGTTCAAAAAAATCATGTTATTGATGACAACGATGATCTCTTACCTATGGAGAATGGTCAATTTTCATCAAACATTAATTATGTACAACAAACCCAGCGAAAACCAAATCAATTAACACAAGTAAGTGTGAGGTTTTCTTTTCTAGAACATAAACTACCATCAGGGAAGAACTACACCAATGCTTTGCCGAGTAGAGCATACTGGAGAGAGTACACAACAAGGCAAAATACTTTTCCCTGTCAACGCCTTTTTTTTAATAAAAAGTCATTTGACAACGTTTTTCTAAATCTAAACATAACGATAAAAAAATGAATTTTGATCTATTGTCAAATGATGATAAAAGTTTCCAGTTCATATTAGTGTCATGCACTTATCTACAAGACTGTTAGTTATTGGATTGAAAATGATTATTTTACTCAGTTATAATCTAATCTTTAGTTATTAATAACTTTTTTTTTAATTCTCTCAAACCGATAAAATAAATTTGGAGAAAAAATTGAAGATTAGAAAGCAAAAACAAAACAAAAGTTCAAGGTCAAATTATTACGAGATAAGAACAGTACTACATCAATCGATTTGAAACAGATTTACGATCGTTTTTATTCAGAGATCATATTCTTTTGAAATGATGTAAACAAAATGTGGATTGTGAATATACAGAATGAGTAGAATTTTTCATTAGATTATCAATCTATTTCATAATCGATCTCAGTTTATATGTCCTATTTGGCCCTGAAGATAGGACAATGCGAAACAAAAAGGTGCCCTAAGACGATCTCTGATCTCCAATCCAAGAATAAATCGTTATCTAAATATTTCGATTCGAATCAGAAACAATTGATCAATCAATTTTTCAATTGGCAATCTTCATTTAAGCTCATAGACAGGACTCTTAGTGTAGATAAAAATCCTAAAAGGGTTCATGCTATAAGGCATTTCTTCTTGAATTATATTTATTCGACTGAATTTTCAGCCTATAGTAGGATATTATGAAAAAAATTTTCATCTGAAAATTTTTCGAACAATCGATTTCATTGTTCTTATGATAGCCTGAAAGTTTCAGCTCAAATGGACGTTTTTCTTTCGATATATCATCTTCGCAAAAAGATTACTTTCTCACAAATATTCTAAAATTAGTCTAGTTTTTAGGCATTCGATATCTTAAGAAGAAAACATTTCTTTCAGGGGATGAAAAAAAGAGTTTTTCTTACAGTCTTAATTGTTTTTCAAAATTTCATTGTTTAAAATCTATCATGCATACATTAGATTTTCGTATGATGAAATTCGAATCTCTATCTATTGTCCAGATTTGAACTCAAATCAAAATTTTTTTTTCATTTCAGAGCAATAGTCTTGAAATGTCTTATGGTCGACATCATTATCCTGAATCTTATGTAAATGGTCTCTCATCAAATCGATCAATAAAGGTAAGTCCTGCAGAAGAATTACCAACAAATCGTCCAACTTCTAATGCATTGTCATTAAAACTTCAAACAGCATTTCTTAAACGTCAACAATCATTAGGTTATGATAAAAATATTAATATTCAACTCACACCTGAATCAAATATAAACAATCGTGGCTCAATTAAAAAAAAGCATACTACTACTACTAATAATCAATCAAAATGATTATCAAATCTACGTTATTAAATATTCATTGTAGAATAAAAATAAAAATATCTTTAAGAGTTTCACTGTTTCATTCTCACCGGTGATATCTCATTCCAAGAATCTAAATCATAATAGGACGAGAAAAAAGAAAATAAAATCTATCATAATAACAGTTCCTTCTCAACAGTGTACTCTTTGTCTTTCTTTGTTCTGTTGCTTCTCATTCAGTTTTGCTTTTCTAGTTTTTTGTTTGTTTGTTTTGAAGACATTCACTCACAGTACCTTGTATCTCTTTTATGTGTGTATTTTATGTTAAAGTCGAGTTTTAACAAGTGAAATGGGTGCTAAAAAAAAAAGCAAAAAAAATGAAACAAATCACACATCACCCTGAGCGACGTTCGTTCAAATTGAATACACACGTATCTCCTTATTTTTCTGAATCATGTACATAAAATATGATGTGGTTATATTAATAAAAGCCTTTATCATACTTTATTTACTTATTAAAAGTTGAATGTTTTTTGTTTTGCTAAGCAACAACAAGAAGATACAATATTCAAAATGTATTTTATGTTAATAAGTTAGTTTGACAAGTTATATTTATATTATTATATACTATTGATAGAAACAAAAATACTGCTGTCTTGAGACATTGAAGCTCTTTTTTCTTGAAGTTGACCCAAAATCAAAATCTTAAAATATAATTTTCAAATAGACAATCGAATTATAGGTAATCTAAGATAGAATTCAGTCAATTTTGAATTTGAATTGTAAACGGTTTAAAAAAAAAGAAATACTTATAGTATCAAAAATTTTCTTTATTATTTTACAATATTTTTTAATGAATATAATTTGAATCGATAATTACCTTAGTCAGGATGAGAGTGTAGATGATTCACACTGTCAGCATCAACAACGCTCTCATCCACATATCTACTTGAGTCATGTATAGCATGTTTTTGAGTGATTGCACGTCTGGTAATATCAGAAACATTAATATGCATGTGACAGTGACACACAATAAATTGATTTTAGATGTATATTGGTTACTGCTATATGTTACTGAATGTATATATGAGATATAAGTCAATAGAAATATCAACACTTATTCAATTGTGATAAAAATGAAGAATGTTTTTTTTAAATAATATAATTTGTGCATTTCGTAGATTGTTATTTATTGTTCGCATATCTTCATTATATTTTCTTGTAGTTCTTGTTTTACTCATCTAGTAGATCATCAACGATGAATAATAAAAATTTTTCTCGATAATAATATTCAAGAATGCGAAAGAATATCGGTAGAAATCTTTTTTAATGGTTTTATTCTTACATCATATAAAATGTATGATGATGTAATATTTGTTTGGTGACCACCATTTTTCTTATTTATCCAGTCGTGATGGTTAAGAAGAGTGTGCACTGTCTTATAACAATGATGAATAGTCATAGCGAAGGCAATTTATTTGATAACAATGACCATTTTCTAATCTATAACTGTCAAAATATCTTAACATGATTCATATATTTAATTCCATAAATATCAAGTTGTTCTTAATGAAAATCAAAAGAAATATTATTGTAATGATTACAATATTTTGATTTATCATAAGCTTAACAGATGCAAATTAAAAATGACAATGTACGCTTACCAATTCAAGTAAAGAATATCCTATTAAGATAGCGAAAAGTAAATTGTTTGTTGAATAATAATTCAAATTACAATTAGAACTTTTTAGTACATCATACGACTAAAGCTTATAATTGCAATCATAAAGATGACTCCTATAATCACTGAGACAATATAATAGACTAAATAAACCATAATCGATGTCTAATTTCTTCACTCTTACACACTGTTTATGTACTTTGTATAATGCATTGAAGCTTCGTTTTAAGTCCACCACAATGCGCTATGTAATTGCTTCTGGTCTTAGCCTCATCTTTAATACCGTTTTTATGAGTATACTATTAAAATATGAATTAGGTTCAATTGTGATATCGAAACATGTTTCTCGTATACTTACGAAAATAAAACTAAACCGATAAAAAAAATCTTTCATCCTACTTATTATTTCAATACCTAATTACTAAATGCTTGCGTCAGTTTCTATATCAAATTTGAATAATAAATCAATACAACTTTCACTTGTCAAACAATTTCTATGAGAAAAGTCCTTATTAAAATGTTTCATTTATTTTTGTATTCATTATAGATACTTAGACCTTGAATTATTTCAAACGTAAATTAGTTAACTCATGATTTCTTCGATAACTATGAGACACGCTCTATAGATCTGGTGCTTAATTACAATGAAGATAAATATTTTTCATTGAACCATTCATTAACTATGTGCAGTATACTTGACAAGTAAAATAAGGGTCTTTCAATGCTATATGAATCAAAATTGAATTTACGTCGTTTTGTCTCGTTCACACTGCCATGATGTAGGTTCAGGAGGAAAAGAGCGAAATCCTGGAGTCTATATGCTGAAAGCCCTTACATGTATTGTTATTGAAGGAAAGTCGATCACCACACATCAACAATGAATACAACATTTTTCATAGCCTTCTCATTCAAACTTTCTTATTTTCAAATGTTGAGGTTGTGGGTACCTGTCTTCTGTTCACTCACATCCATATCCACCCAAAGACAATGATAATAATAATGAAAATGATGAAGAGAATGAAGGTGCATGTGATGGTGATGAAAATACTGCACGTGTTCAATCAATGAAAACGAATTCTTTTCTGGAATACGTATCAAAGATGAAAATTAGTCTAGATTTAGAACATGCATTTTTCAAAGGAGAAATCAATAATACCACCGAATATTTACATAAACATGTAATATGTTAGCTGTTCACTCAAAAAAGGTGATTGTCTATCAACTGATAGGTTATCACAAGTTGCGTAAGTAAAAAAATCTTATTTACAAAATTGATCCGAGCATTTCTATGTATTGTTATACTAATCGAATGATTATTGATATTGAAGAATGTCATAATTAAGCCTTTAGTTGAAAAAAATGTTAATAGATAAACGAAAAACTGGACTCAGCTACAAGATTTGCAGAAGAAATGAGACAATTTTATGGATTACAACACAACTAACGAGCCATCGATATATGTATATTTCAATGACCATAAAATAATGGAATAAAGGAAGAAGACATAATAATATGGAACACTTTTGTAACCCGGATGGTAGTTTTTGATAAGTCTAATGAAAGTTTACTGGCGATCCTGATGAGTTTTAGAGAATGCTTTGAGCATAAAGAGAATTCGAGCGAGTTTTAAAAATCCAAAAAAGTTCGAAATTTCAGGATTCTATTCCTCTCCCCTTGGTATCAGTGGCATTTCATATATTGTTACTGTTGGAATTCTTTTCAAAATTTACTGATTAGAAGAAAATGGCACCAAAATATTATGAAATATAAACTTAAATTTTCGTTTAACCAATTATGACTAAGTATCAATATCTGGTACATTTGTCTGATAATTTATATGAAATAACTTAAGACTAAACACAAATTATTATGACAGACTGTCTACAGAGTAATGCAACCCGTAAGTTTTAAGTCAGGCTTTTGAATAGTCAATTTTGATAACAGTAGAAAATAATTTGAATATGTATGCTTACGAAAAAATGTAGATTTCCTTTGCTGATGCTTTTTTTTAGTGTTTTATGGAAGTAAATTCTCATCAGTACATAATGAAGACAGCAAAGAGTCAATTGAACCTATCATGATTGCAATTTCCACCGGCATTGTGTGAAGATTTCATTAAAAGGTTTTCATATGACCTTTATTAATTATTTCATTAACAATGTAGCATAATGATCACGGAAAACATCATATACAGTTAAGTTGAAAATGAAATATTGCAATTCGACGCCGATATTATAGAAATCTTCTCATGTATTCATTAACGAAACTTAATTTATTTGTCTATGTGATATATTAAAAGTCAACCATGATATAATTTCTATTTTTATGAATTTCTTCGAATAGTTTACATGGGGTTAAATGTAGTACTAATAAATCATGCTAGAACATATTCAAGATCTTTGACACGCAATATCTTTGTTTGTTATGGTGCTGTCTCATTGGTTGAATTAAATTCAGAAGTGATACATGTATGATTCATATCAATAGCTTCCACCGTTGGTAAAAATTCATGCTTACTATTAGTTGAATCTCCTCTTTTTCATAGTCGTCCCTTAGAATACCAAAAACCATAGGAAAAAAAGGTAATATGGCTGATTCCTATGAAAATACTAAGTCGAATGACAGTTTCCTTTGTTGTATTGATCACGAGTAGAAGACATAGTAAAGCACCTAACGTAGGTATCAGTCAGGCGCCCAATGGTATACGCAAATCTCGCGAAATATTTCGATGTGTAAGACGCATCTGCAAAGTAGATGCTTTTATAAAGAATATGCATACAAGAAATATATTAAACTTACTATAACAACACTAATATGTATGAGAATATATGTAATTAACGCACTAGTCGATGTGGTTTCACCCAGAATATCAACTGGACATATACCAGATATGAGTGCACAAAATATTCCTAAAAATGAACATAAAATATGTCTTTTAAAAGTTATTTAAAAAAAATGTACCACTAATCAATGTAGAAACCCATGGAGTTGTCGTTTGAGAATGAAGTTTAGCTAAGACTAATGGTAATGAACCATCATGAGCCATGGTATAAAATATTCGTGTCTGCGATAATAGTAATGTCAATGGCACAGTTGTAGGAGTAGCAATAGCACGCAAATCCATAATAATTACTATAGGCGCCAGAAGTCAGTACACTCGGATGTTTTCGAATGACTTGTGATAGGAACAAATTAGAGACCTTCGATTTTCAGCGGTTGATAGCCAACACCCAGGAGCATATTTTTATAGTCAAAATATTTTCTGAAAAAATCCCCAAACTGGTTTTTCAAAGGATCTCTGAAAAACTACTCTGGATTGCTGAAAACTGCTATGGCAGTTGACTGTTTTCTTTTACATTTTCGAAATTAGCATCGATAACTGAGTCCACTCATGCGTATTTCGAATCTTTTCACGAACTTTTTTTTTCATCGAAAATTCACTCCTCGTTCACTGAGGGAAAGGTCAAAAAGTGAACTCAGTGAAAACGCTGTTTTTGTTATTTAGTCATTTGCCATTTTATGCTCTACTAGCATTTTACATGCTCCAAACTTGGTTACCACTGCCCAAGTGAGCTTCTGACTGAATTCATTTTTTGGCCATCCCCTCCGTGAACGAGGGGTGAATTTTTTGATGAAAAAAAAGTTCGTGAAAAGATTCGAAACATATATGAGACGACTCAGCTTTCGATGCTAATTCCGACAATGTAAAAAAAACAGAAAACCGCCATAGCAGTTTTCAGAAATTCAGCGTAGTTTTTCAGAGATCCTTTGAAAATCCGGTTTTGGGTTTTTTTCAGAAAATATTTGCTTATGAAAAGATGCTCCTGGATCTTGGCTATCAAACGCTGCAAATCGAAAGTCTCTAAGTTGTTCCTATCGAAAGTTATTCGAAAAACATCCGAGTACACTGACTTCTGGCGCCAATAGTAATATTGAAAAATAACATGTGAAATACAATAATAATTACTGTTCGTCAGGACTCTCATTATTTTGTTTATTCAATTTCGTTTTTTTTTCTTGTGTATAATGATATGTTTTACTTACGAATGTTTAAATTTTGTATTTGTGTCGCCTTGCTTTATACTTGCATGACCGACAGTATCAGTAAATATTGGGATAAACGGAGAGAAAAAGAACGAATGAAAGACATGTTTTCACGCAATTTTTAGAAAAAAATACACTGGCATCCTATTTCATGCCTCGAAGAACATGAAAGTGTGATGATGATTAAACGGTAGTATAACCTATTGATATGAATTTGATGGAAACTTTTTTTGCTTGATTTCATCCAATATTAATAAATGTTTTGTCAATTTTTTCTTCATTCTATTAGGATAGTGTTGGTATTCTTTTATTTCACAGGAATACCACTTTTATAATAATGTTTGTTAGTTTTTTTATCCTAATATACATGAATATGATATCAGAAATACTTCAAACATTCAATTACATGAATTTTCAAAATACATACAAACATTGATTATCAATAAAAAAAGACAACGATCATAAAATAAACATTCATTAACATAATCTTAGATCAATATAGAGAATCATTCAAAATACTATAAACAAATGGTAAGAATGTAGTTTTACATAGATTTTTAACATCGTCTTACACTTATGCTGATTTAAGTCATTTAAAGAGTTATTAAGATCATGAATTTCGATTGCAATATGATAATAATGATACGATTAGAACAGTCATTTATTTTACATTGCCATCGGTTGATATTGCATGATTTCAATACAAAAAGAAAACTAACAAATAACTTACTTCCCTTTTTGAATAAAAAACTCAACTGTTAACAAAAATAAAATTCTTCTAAATAGATTTATTGGTTATTTATTAAAGAGTATAATCATTTTATTTACTGTTTTAATTTTTCATGCGATTATTTTCAATTTTCAATTGAATCATATTAAGATTGTATTCATCATTAGCATTATATTTGTGCATTTTTTTACTTTCTAACACCAAAACCAAAGACTAACTGATACATGATGAAGCCAAAGTATTTAGTGTTTTCTTCCAAGCAGTTATACATTAAAGTCAATTTCGAAATTGTCCTTTCTTAAATGAGCATATAGCTGACTACTCTTTTTAACTCAAATATCTTTCTATCAAAAGTTGACTCGCATTGAGTTCAATCAACATTCTAATTAACTTACCGATACAAAAAGCATTTGGAATATTTTTTGGCGTTTATAACTTCTATCAAAGATCTTGGGACAGCTGGGTGCAGCAGTAGAGAAAGGATCACAGGCACTTCGGTTACAATTCACTATCTTGTCTTTATGGACACCAGTCAGTAATTTATAAGTAATAAAGAGTTTTTTTTAGTACAAATATAAAGATTCCCAGCTGTCAACAAGAGGAAAGTATGACAAAGAAAAGATACCATTATATAATCTTCTCGTACAAACGGCACAATATCGACAGATATCGAACGCTCATTTAGTGCTACACTCTAAATGATCTGCTAGTGTGAATCAAACATTACAATGGATGTATGAATGATACACTTTTTCTGAGTTCAGTAAAGAAAATGAATAAAAAACAACTAAAAATTTAGTGAGATAAAATACACAATTGGCTAATGTACATATAAACAAACAGATAAGAGCAAAACACTACTAAATGATTTGCAGAGAAGAAAAGTTTTCATTATTTCAATTCAAAGCATCATAATAAATATTCTTCTTCTCTATTAACATATGATACAACAGACGTTTTTTAATTTTGATCCGCTGTTTTGTCCCATGATGACGACAATCGTCTAGTATGAATGATGAAGATACCCACGTAATCCGATGAAAAATTCTAACGAGATTTTGATTAACGACTTTTATCAATCGTCGTTTCAATTTGCAACACAAACAGCAAAATAATTATTGGAATTTGAAATAAAAATTTGTCTTTTCTCAAAAATAGTCTAATTCATCTATGGTAGTTTTATTTATTATGCTTCCGATGAAAAAGCTAATGCTTGTAATTGGAAATCAATTTTTTAAAGTTTCTCTATTCGACTATACAATATCCGAAACTCATGTTTTCGCTTAACCCTTTGGGACCGGTGGTACAAGGGTTGTACCACCTATTGTCCAGAAAGGAAAATGTTTGTTTCTCATAAAACTATTATTATGCGTAAGGTAATAGGTCGTTTCAGCTACCGTCGTATGCATATCTTTCTTCTCTTTCTTTCTGTCATATAGATGCTTCTCAGATCTTCTCTTTTCTTTCTGCTCTATACACTGACGCCATGATTACTTTCTTTCTTATCTTGATGTATTGTCATAAGGCTTTTATGTGATCATTTTGATCCACATACAATAAATTGATGAAAGAACCATTTTTCAATTGAAAAATAATTCCGTCCCCAAATGGTTAATGCGCAGTTTTAGTTTTGTGTTCTTTCTGAAGATAATATTGCTTGAGATAAAACTTGTAGATCGATTATTTCTCTTACAGATTCGTTTCATTTAAGAACATTTAATAATTAAGAAACTTCAAGATTTAAGTTCCAACTACCCATTCTAGTTTCAAAAATATAACTTCATTTTTTTTAATGAAAATAATTATGATAACTCAGATTAACCAATTGGATGTCAAAATCTTATAAGATTGTACTTCTGATCTTACAAGAGCAGACGAAAACCGTACGAAAAATCATCGTCTCTGAAACCTTACGCTACGCTGTTTAATAAGATTCTTGAAAGATCTTGCTGCCTTGTTAGATATTATTCTAAGATTACAGAAAAACTTATGTGCCGATAAAATCTTTCAAAGATCTTATTATATTACATAGCATAAAATTTTATAGATGATAATTTTTTGTTCGATTTCCGTATCAGCATCTGATATTTTTTCAATTGGAAAGGTAAAAAAGATATCCCATTTTGTAAAAACAATCCTTTTACTTAATTATGTGAATCAAATCAAATCTTTGGTGACCGATCACTTCGTCGCACGACATTTTGTCGCGTTCTGTTCGTCGCAGAATAATTTCTTTCGTTCTGTTCGTTGCATCCTTCTCAATTAATTCCTTTTTTTAAATAACCAATTGAAATAAAATAAAATAAATTAAAAATTCTGAAAGATGTATACGGTAACGATAAACGATTGACTGTTCTAAAGCATATGACTTTAATTGGGAAAACGGATCAATAAAAATATTAATCAAAAGTGATCATGCTAGAGCTGAACTGAACGAAGGATAATTAGATTTGTCAATCGGTTAATAAATTTCAGCATAATCTAGACTAACAATAATACTGATCAAATGTTCTACATTATACGACCACGATAAATAAAAATATACATTGATGAGATTGAAAATATCGTTATTGAAAATTCTATAGTGTACAGGTAACTCATAGAAGAGCACTGTTTCCTTTTACAGAAAGCAGTTTTTCCATTTGAAACGTTTGTTTTGAAGAGTAGTGTGCAGTGAATATTGAAATTGCGAAATGAAATATATTTTCAATGTCATCAATGCATGTTTTTTTTATTGTGATCCCATTATTAAAACCATTGGATCTGTGTTATCATTGACATATATTATGTTGAAACTCATTAACTGTGTGACAAATCTAATTATTCTTCGTTCACTTTAGCTCTATCATGATCATTTTTGATTAATATTTTTGATTGATCCGTTTTCCCAATTAATGTCATATGCTTTAGAACAGTCAATCGTTTATCGTTACCGTATACATCTTTCAGAATTTTTAATTTATTTTATTTTATTTCAATTGGTTATTTTAAAAAAGGAATTAATCGAGAAGGACGCAACGAACAGAACGAAAGAAATTATTCTGCGACGAACAGAACGAAAAAAAATGTTCTGCGACGAAATTAGTGGCGTAACCAGGAAATGACCGGTGCCCGGGCGGTACCCTACAGTGTTTCAAAAATTTAACTAACAGTAGTCAAAATTTCCATCAAAGCGTGATTAATCCTCACAATTTTTGTTCTCTTAAAAAGAGACCAGAATATGTCAAAGACTGCGCAAATTAGGAGAAGTAAGAGTGATAACACAACCTAATTTGAACAAATTTTACTGAATGAACGTCAGAATCTTTCATTTTTCTCGCTCAAGAACAGGGTTGCCTATAAGCATTCAAGTTGAGGGAGGACCGACGATCTATATGATCAACTGGGGAATTTTTTGAAAAATGTTCACAAATTTTCACAGAAACTACAGCGTTTTTTGTCAACTTTGCGGAAGGAAAAAGGATAAAATCGAAATAAATTTTCAAAAAAAATTGAAATTCTTTTTACTGGGAGGAAGCCGATGTAATTTCGAGAACTGACGAAAAGAAGACGTAAAATTCTTCAAAACAACAGTAACATTCTAGAATTTTGGCTTTAAAAATCGAAAATTTTCCATCAACGGAAGAGGAAGACTGCCATTTCTACACTTCTTTCAGTTTGGGCGGCCCTGGACTCACTGATTTTACAAATCGAATCCACTTTCTTCTCTAGGAAACTTAGCTTTGTCAGCAAGAAATTCTCAATTTTTCCGTTTTCGGTTCTCAAATTTAGCTGGAAAGTGGCCCATTCTCTCAAAAACATGCCAAAAAAAAAAAAAATTGTCTACCCTAAACTTCAAGGCATATTCGAAGTTCTAAATGTATCTTCTTTTTATGGAGTGAAATCAAGCAGAAAAAAGAGAAACGGACCATGTAAACAGAGAACAAATACTGCCTACTCATCCACGTGTCTAGTTTTTATCGTATTTGTAAGACTTACGAATGGTTCTCAGTGCTTTTGATTATGCGACAAAAGATGGTCCGATGATAGGTGTAATTTTTCTTTTGACCGGCGCCCGGGCAAAAATTATTGGTGACCGGGCGGTGTCCGGGCATGCCCACCCCTAGTTACGCCACTAGACGAAATGATTGCGACGAAATGTACTAGTACCCAAATCTTTAAACTTACAAACACATAGAAAAAAAAATGGTTCTCTTCTGAAATTATCATAAACAATATTCATGAACACAGTAGAGGTAATATATTCTCAAACCAGATATTATAATAAACAATTTATATAACCAATAATGAACCATTTATTACGTTAAATCAACTTGACGAAAGTGTTATAATTTAACATTTTGTCTTAATCAAGTGTTTTACGGTAATATTTGCAAGTATTTGTAAAGAAAGTTTTTTATGCTTCATATTCAGTATTGTTCAGTGACTAAATCCGGTTCAGATGCATTCTGTGAATATTGTTTCATAATACTTTCTACTGCCGGTACAAGCTCAATTCTACTTAAATTTGATTCATTTCTTATTAGTTTTCGTTGTTTAGAATGCCAAAA